GTTCACCAAAGCCGATACCGTAATCTTCCGCACGGATCTCTACAATCTGACTACCGGTCGCAAGGCGTTCAGCTTCAAAAGAACGCTCAAGTACGATTCCAAGTGGCTCGATAGTGAGTATTCTTTTTCAAACAATGCCCATTACTAGAAGTACTTAAACTTATTATATATCGATATTCTCTTTTATATTGAATTATTATAGAAGATAATAATGTTTAATGATTTTTGTCAATATATAATATTTTGGCATGTTTTTTTATTTAATATTTAATCTATAATAGAGTAAGTTTTAAACTTGTAAATTATATTCCATAATTTGTCTTCATCCCGTCGGTATTGATTGCTACGTCTACTAGTAAAGATACTCGGATCTCTAAAGGACCCTTTACTCAAAGCCCAATAATTACGGCGTGTCGGATCAACAATAAAATTTCCATTAGACTTAGAGAGTGTAGTATTAACGGGAAGAAGGGATAGGCGCTTAGATCGGCTAAAAAGCGAAATAGGTTTCCCGCGAAGAAACCGAGCGGGAAGGGTGCTGTTTGGGAAATAGACGGGAGAGTGCTTTGAAGTAGGACCCCGGACATCAGCCGAAAACACGCTTCGGGTTCAAATGGATGCGAATAAACTGCCCCGCCTATTTTCCAAGGGTACCGTTGCCTGCCTCGTCGACGACGCGAAGGACTCGCGTGGTAGGATGAAAGTACCGAAGCAGACTAGAGGGTGCCCGATTCTCTCTTCCTCGCTCTCTCTTTCTCTGTCTCTTTCTCGCTCCACGAGAGGGGTAATAAAATAACATCCTGACGCGATCTGCCTCGTCCTAAACGTTGCGCTCTCGACGAAGTACCTTCCTCCTCCTCCTCTTCCTTGGAAAGGGAGAGAAAGCGAGCCGACCGAAGAAGTTAAAGTTTCCCCGTCGTCCGCCGGAAACCCCTTCTCCCCTTTCTCCTTCTCGCCGCAGTCCCGCGCAGGCCGAGCTTTAATCAGTTTTACCGGCTCCCTGATTCGTCGACCGAGATTATTGCGATTCTCTCGATTTTTCGTTATCGGAACGCGCGAACGTGAGGGGCGCGGCAGGCGGGAGCGGCTTGGCAAGGAAATTGGAAAATGTAGATTAGGACGTGCGTCGAATATAGACATACAATCCGACATGGAATTTAATAGCGTAACTCGCGGGAGGTAGGGGCGGAGCGCACTGATTTGCGATGATCAAGTGTAAATAGAATCCGATTCGTTAGGTTCGTCAGTCGTGACAGGACACGAGCAATACGTCGAAAATTTAGTTACACGCCCGTTTAATATCGAAATTCTGCTCTATTCGGAACCTTCTACCGACTACGTTTTAAAATGACGCAGTTGAAAAAAAATTTTGTTCCACGAATAATTTACGTGTTTCGTATTAAATATTAGTCATTTATTAATTTATAGTACGTCAAAAATATTTAAAGTTCTTTAAATCACAAAACTTTTGATTTATTAATTATCTCAATGAAAATTGTATTTTTTTGGCTCGAGGGAGGAAAGTAGCTTACCCGTATAAAAGAGTTAATTTTAACTCCTTCTTTGCCGCATCGCAATCCTTTCCATGGCGAGCATTTACGCGCGACACGCGGAATAATGGTGCAGGACGGTAGGCTGCTGCTTTGTATTTCTCAAGAGGGGCCGCTTCCGCTTTTCCTCACTCCAGTGAAGCGTGCTGCCACTCGAGTTCGCTCTTTCAGCCACCATCTTCGTCGTCGTCGAGTAGGGTCGTGGTACACCGGAGCGGCGAAAACTGTAGGGCAGACGAATAACTTTGTCCTACTTTGTATCCTTCGCGCCCTCCCACGGGATGCATGATTAGCCATTTGTTTCGTCGTTTAATTTCAAGTCGGAGCGCAGCCCTTTCGTTACACACTTTCTCTCTCTCTCTCTCTCTCTTTCTTATCTTTGCTCTTAGCTGCCTACTATTCCCCCGCCTCCGGAACGAAACCTTCGTTCAGACCCTACCAAGCGCGAGCGCGTCACCATCAAGGACCATTCTCCGCATCGAGTTTGTCTATTAACAAAGGCGTTGATTAAATGCGAGGCGAGAGTCTCGGAAGAGACGGATGAACTCTGCGCACGCTTCTCGTAGTCTTCGAGCCTTACTCGCCGACCCTTCGTACTCTTTCTCTTTCTTCTTCGCTCGCAGTTTCTCTTTCTTGTGTCTCTGCTCGGCGGCAAAGCGAACGCAATGAAGACTGATGTGGTTCGTGGCCATGATAAGGAAAACTCGGCTCGGGAAGGTGAATCGCGAATGGAAAGAAGGACGAAGAAAAATGGCGAGTAGAACGCAATGGACTTCTTAACAAGCTCTGAATAACTAGCTGACGAACGTCTACTTTCACGGATTCTGTGCGCGCGAGAGATAGCACTTTGTCATTATCAATATCATCACGCACCCATTTTCTCGAATTTGCTGCATTTAACTGTCTTTAAATTTCTTTTTTCTGGATATATTGCAACGAAGCATTTTTTTTCTTAAAATACTACGGAGTGTATTTTCAAAGCTTAAATAGTGCCACACGTTGCTCTCTTCATTAATGATGAAAAGCACAATCAAAGCTTATCGTTTCTAGACGATTTTGCATTCCCTTGTCCCCTCGTTCGTCTTCTACTTCGCAGCCGATCTCTTAGCCTGTCTTCGTCTCTCTGCACGTGCCTGTACCGTCCCGATATATCAAACTGCCGCTGTCGAAAGCGTCAGACAATCGATTTAATCGTTGAACCGTGAGAGAGATTGCGACGGTCTCCAGTCGAATGCCGCCGCATAATGTAAAATTGACAAGAGAACCCGACACTGGCGGCAGGATTCGAACGCGGAAAAATTCGATTTCCTTCGTCATTTTCTCGCGTCACCGAGCTCCGACTGCTATCGTGATGCGAGATAAACCAGTTTCCTCGGCACAACAAGTAATTACGCCAAGATTAAAGGATTTCGCGCGACGAGGCATGTCTGCTGCATGATCGGGCTGCATTTTTTGGTGCGATTAATGCGAATAATCGCGCGATTGTGCCGATTTTGCATGCTATTAACCAGGATTCGCTCGTCGAAAATCGTCATGAATGGCAAGACAAATCGAATTAATCTGTAATAAATTATTTCTAAATCTCGAGCGAAATAAACCGCGTGATATTCCCCGAGTCCGCTCGAGCCTCTTGCCGTCTGTTGGCGAAGAACTCAGAAACCTTTGCAAAGTTATTTCGGACTCTTTCTCGCGCAACTTATCTCATTCGAAGATGATACTGAACTTATAACTCAACTACGCGAGGCGCGATGATAAAGCCGACTGGATGTTGTTCGCTTTCTTTTCTCGCCGTATAATTTTTTCATCTCGCCCAGCACGACATTGGTAAATTGCGATTTAATTTTGGTATTGTGTATATACGTATTTAACGAGAATTTTGTATGAGATTCATTATAAGATAATTTTGCACCAGTTATTCTTTCATTGAATCCAATTCTGCTTGAAATCGTCTTTATCAAGGAACACAATTAAAGCGCATTGTTTCCAATCTAATCCTGGCTACGTGTTTCCCGTTTTTGCACTTCCATTTGCTGCTAAAGCGGTTGCAAAATAATATCGTTGCGCTACGAAATGCCTGCGGTTAAACGGAATTCGGGGAGATTGTTGCCCACGTCTAGAGCGGAGTTTAAACACAGTTCCGGCGATGAAAGTTTTTATGCATAGAACGAGCAAGGATATCGTCGCGCCCCGCCCGCGGCGAATACTCGATTCGCGATTATTATTGCGCGCGATTATTGCGGAGTAGATATCTACCTACACGCGGGAACTATCTACTCTAGATGTAGTTATTTTGGCGTAGAGAATGAGGTAGATGCTAACGGCTAGATACACGAGCGTATAAGCTCGTTGGAACATGCGACCGAGAAATATAACCATTCGGCGAGAAAAAAAGATACACATGTCGAGAAACGCGAATCGAAACTCGTTTCGACGCTTTTAAAAAGAAAATTAAAAACCTAACGTAGATAGAGCGTAATGTTTCCCGTCTATCTTTTCAGAGCCGAATTTCGTAGGCTCGTATGACATCGGCAGCCACGTGTTCTTCTTTTTCCGCGAGACCGCGGTCGAATACATCAACTGCGGTAAAAGTGTGTACTCCCGCGTGGCGAGAGTCTGCAAGAGGGACACCGGCGGTAAAAATATACTCGCCCAAAATTGGGCTACATATCTCAAGGCCAGGTTGAACTGCTCGATACCTGGCGAGTTTCCGTTTTATTTCAACGAGATACGTGAGTATCAGAAAATTGTGTGTTGCATGAAACATATTTTTACACAGTTGTGTGTGTATGAAACTTTCCATTATAGCATAATTTACATTTACTTCTATACTCTTGCTACATATTCAGAATTTAATTTTGTTTTTAGAGATTTTATATTTAAATCGGGCACGAACTTATGCAATCACCTGATATGTGGAATTATGTAAAATCTTTTTTAAAATTATTTTTAATTAATATTCATACACACATCTGTGGCTGTTATAGCGTGTATAATTTACGTTACTGCATTTTCGCTATTCAGAGAGCATTTACAAGGTGCCGGGTGACGATACGCATTTCTACGGTACCTTCACCACATCGACGAACGGATTAATGGGTTCTGCGATATGTTCCTTTCACATTGACGCTATTCAGGAGGCTTTCCGCGGAAAGTTCAAAGAGCAGGCAACTAGTAGTAGCGCGTGGCTACCAGTCCTGTCCAACAAAGTTCCAGAACCGCGTCCGGGCCAATGCGTCAACGACACAGAGACGTTGCCGGACACAGTTTTGAATTTCATAAGGTCCCATCCTTTGATGGATTCCGCGATCTCGCACGAGAACGAGAAGCCGGTCTTCTACAAGCGGGATGTCATGCTCACGCGATTGGTCGTCGATAAGCTGCGCATCGACTTTGTCGGCATCGATCTGGATTACACCGTCTACTACGCCGGTTCCAGTAAGTATTTGTCGTATTATCTACATCGCGCTGTGAATACAGATCGCGATTTGATATATTTATTTTGTTCCACGACATAAAAATGCGTAAATGCACGTGTTCTTCGTTGCGTTTTATAGGCGACGGTCGCGTTCACAAGGTTGTACAGTGGCTTGACAATAACGGCGAATCCCAGTCAATCTTGCTGGACGTTTTCGATGTCACGCCGGGCGAACCGATACAAGCGATGGAGATTTCAAAGGAGCATAAGGCTCTCTACGTAGCATCGGATCACCGGATAAAGCAGATCGATCTGGTAATGTGCACCCGACGATACGATAATTGCCTGCGATGCGTCCATGATCCGTACTGCGGATGGGATAAGGATACAAATACGTGCAAACCCTACGAACCTGGGTAAGTGTGATTGTACTCTTCGTAAGCGTGACTTGACTTGAAAATTGTGAAAACACGAGAGCGATTTATTGTCTTACAATAATTTTGCGCGTAATGCATATTATGAAAATATAAAGAATGGAATATAACATTGATTTCCATCATAATTTAATTATGAATTACGACACACAAGCTTCGAAATAGAAATATTCGCTCCGGTTTTATACGCATCGTATATTTTGGTTACCGCAAATTCATTTCCCTCGGTGAAACGAAATACTTTTACGGAAAAAATAAAAAAAAGAAATTGTGCAGCTGGCGAATCAAAATTCAATTTCGCGGAATATTTCAAAATAAAATTACGGGAAAACCGTATAAATGAATATTCGAGATTACATGTTTGTGACAAAATTGCCACGCGTGACGTGATTTTTGACTTTTCTCGCGTAGGCTTCTTCAGGATGTATCGAATAGCACAGCCGACGTTTGCGATAGCAGCGTCGGCAAACGGAAGCTGGTTGTTACGTGGGGCCAGTCGGTGCATCTGGGATGTTTCGTAAAAATGCCGGAAGTACTGGCGAATCAAGAGGTACGGTGGTACCATTATAGTAAAGAGAAGGGCAGATATCAGATCGCGTACAAGTATGGCGCCGGTGGCGACAAGTTCATCGAGACCTCGGAGAAGGGTCTGGTGATTGTCGGCGTTAACGAGCAGGACGCCGGTAGATACGATTGCTGGCTCGGCGGTGCTCTTCTGTGCTCGTACAACATCACCGTGGACGCGCACAGATGTTCCGCCCCCGCCAAGTCCAACGACTATCAGAAGATCTATTCGGACTGGTGTCACGAATTCGAAAAGTACAAGTCGGCGATGAAGAGCTGGGAGAGAAAGCAGGCGGTAAGTCGTTTCACATTTTTTCCTTCTTACCCTCGGACAGTTTATGGTGCCGATATAATATTTTTTCGGAAACCGAGAGCATTTTTAAATGCGAGCGAAATAACGTTGCCATATCTCAGACATTATCATCACTGTTCGTCTCATAGAATTATCGCAAATCATTTTTGACCATTCAAAATTTGCATTGCAAAGCGACATATAATTCAGAGAATTCCTGCCCCCCTCTCTCTGTGTGTATATAATATATATATCTTTATATGCATTGGTATGAGAGAGCGGAAATTAAATATTTATCACCAAAATTGCGCGATGCAAGGTAGAGAGAGTTTATTGTGGGAAAATACCCCTATGGCCGTATATTCATAAATCGATAATGTATATATCAATAAATCGATAAATTTAATTGCACGGTTGATAGCGGCAAATGGGAATTATTCTGTAATCGTTTATACTGTTTTACGCATTATGCAATGACAACTTTTACGCGTTATCGAAATCAATTTTAAATTTCACAGCGAAATTATCAACCTGTTTAACTCGTTTTACATCCGTTCTGTAAATATCCGCGCACTTTCATATCAAGACGATCATTCTCACTTTGTCCAACAGTATAATAATAATTTTTTATCTAGAATGTTACGATCATCTGATTAGCGACATGTAATTTTGAACACATGGCGTATTGAGCAAGGCGATACTTTCACTACACGCGCTGAAGATTCGAACCACCTTTTTGTTGACAGCATCGCGCGCGCTTTTTGTTACAGCAATGCGCCTCGAGGCAAAACGACAGCAATCAGAATGTGCACACGAACGAGGTGTACGGCACGCCCCTCGTCTGATGGAGCCGATCATTGGGTCCCTCGTCGAGCCGAGATCACGATGACGCCATGATACGCATAAGCGTCCCGCCGAAGAATCACGGCTGGACCACAACCGGCTGGACGAGTCTGACCTTCCTGCTGGCCGGTCACGTCACCGCGCTCGGCCCGTTGGTCACCCGAGGTCTCTCAAGCGATTGAGACCGATACGCGGCTTCGTGAACTGTGTGGTGAAAGGATTGAAATCTGGTGAGTGCGAAAAACGTACGCGCGATCGATCGTGCATATTGATACTATTTACGTGCCACTGTGCCCGAGATTGCTTCTCGTCGCGCTGCCGATCGCGAGTGATCGTCGATGACTTCATTGGCGATCAGAATATCAGATATATACCAGTTTCGTTCTGGTCGCGCATCCCGCTTTTTGTTACGTATGTTTTTTTTTGTACTCGCTTAATGCTGTAAATAGACGTGTCGCGCACGAGTCGCGCGAAAGAGAGACCCGACGTTGATGCAGCGAGTGTGTTCTCGGCGATGACGACGGTAATGCCACGAAATGTCGTTAAAAAGTGAGACGATTCTCATCTCGTAAATTCCGATACGAATGTGCATTGCGGAGGAGTGGATGTTTTTCGGAGTGGATGAATGCATCCTGGATAAAATCCCAGTAGTGGAGACTCGGTGTGGAAGCTGTATGGAAAAACGCGCGCTTTCATTTCCTCAGATTTTTAATTGATTTGAGACGGCGAATTATGTGTACATACGATATCGGAGCCTCGAAAAACGCCATGTTGATCGCGATATCACCGTAATGAGATATCGATTGTCAATGGAACCGTTGAGATTAAGTAAGCGGTGTGCCGAAGAATGGAAGGCGCGTTTTCTCCTGCGGTTTTTCACATCTGTGATAGAAACGGCCGAAAAGAGAGACGGAAGTTCTCTGACGACGAGAGAGTATCGATAGGACAACGGCCGTTATGGCTCGAGGAAAGGTGAAATGTCGCATCAAGAGGGAAAAACGTGGCCATTGGCGCGTTTACGACGTCACGCAGGTTACATATGAGATTATTATCGACTTTAGGAGACCTTCGTGCGAGCTGCGCTGTACTCGCGCGACGCTGGTTAGCTTTCCATATCACGTTCGCCACTTTTGCGGCGCGCACACGCCTATTTTCTACTCTTGCACACCTACCCCTCAAATACACCAACCCTCTCCTAACATATCCTTCGTTTCTTTTTTTTTTTTCCCTATCGCGTCTCGACGATCGCGCAAACTCCCGCCTTTGGTTATCTTTTGTTTGCCGGAACTTTCGTGCGCCGTTCCGATTATCATCATTATTCTTCGCGTACCCACCTGAGAGACACGGCGAAACGACCGCGCGATGACACCGCATTTTTACGTGCGCGCGCGCGCGTACATTGTGTCGATGAAAGCACACGTGTCGTGTCGGACAGAAACGTCAAAATCATCGCGCTCCAGTTCACGAGGAATCGCCTCGAGTATCCCCCGCGCGTTGTTATCGTCGAGAATCCTCTCCTTTAACTAAGGTGCTACGCGAATCTATCTTTTTCGCAGGAAAACCGGTGAGACCTCTGTGGTCTCGGACTCATGTACATTTTCCGTCTCCTTTCATCCCATTCTTTTTCCCCGATCGACACGCGCGCGCGTACGAAAAACGCGTTACGCACCTAACGAGCGACCGTTGTGTACGCGCCGGGTACACTGTACATAATATATCGGATTCCAAAAGTCACGTGTACACACTTTCCTTAGGTAAGTCTAATATTAGCGTAGAATATACATGTTTGCTTATTAGTTTTCGATCAACACGGCCACGGATCTCTCGTTGCATCCTGCAACGATATCGGCGGCATAACAACCGCCACCAAAAAGTAAACGCGGTGCTGGGGCACACATCGAGGCGAGCGATCGTTTCGACGCGACTTCCGGACTCGACGCTGCGAGCGGACTATCGAATCGTCATTGCGTTTCTAACGTGTCTTTAACACTACGCAGGTAGATTGCGACTGAATCGAGCTCGTGGCGTGGCGTCCATAAAATTTGTTTCCCGAAATCAATCTGGAATTTTAATGTACGCCGTTACACTTGATTCGATGACACTTGGGATCTCAATACGATTATATTATTCGATTTCTCTTATTTTTATCGTCGCTGGTTTTCGCGTTATTTTTCGAACGAATACGGATACAGGAGTGTGTTTTTGACTTTGTAATTCTCTGTATATAGATATAATAACGTTATATTTTTATATAAAAAAAAAAAAGATCTTGCCGAGAAAGATTTATTGTGAAAAGTGACAACATGTTTTTAATTAGTATTCGCACTCAATCAAATGGAGTGACCGCGGACAAAAAAAAAACCGTTTCCGGGCAAACGAATATTTTTCGAATCTCGATACACGCGGGAAACCAAAGGGGAATTCAATTTTGTCGCGTTCCACCGCTAATTTCAATACCGCATATGCATACGTCCTCGTTTAGTAATCGTCCATGAAAATATAACGCAGACTCACACACACTGTAGTGGAATTAGCGTTCGTGTTAGCGTCCGTCCGACTTTTCCTCGGAGATCGACATACATTTTGTAATCAACGCGACAGCAAACGTCTATCGGTGCTCATTTTAGCGCGGTTTGTCGAACGATCGGCGTATCGAGAGAGCACCCAGCCAGCCATAATCACTATACACGTAGGCTACATAAAAAAATTGTAGGAGAGGTCATGACGCCTCTCTCTGTACACAGATTTTCGGTTCTCTGAGGCATCCGGTGATAGTTTTGCTCTTATCCTTGCGTTTGTATATATATATATATATAGACATTTTTTATCGTAATATTTACGCAGTATCCTCGATATATAATGCAGCAGCGCGAAAATGCCCGATCGAGCCTGGATGCGCGCGAGAGAGACTGTTATTAACTTGTGTACAGAAATTGTCGCAGTCGACGATTTACATACTTTTTGTACCTATAAGGCTCAACCTATACGCGAGAAAATACGCGGCGGGGGAACTCCGACCGAAAGATAAATCCTCCTAGAGGAAACGTTATAGATTGGAATAACGGAGTACACACCTAAACGAGACCTTGGGAGATGTAAGAGTCACACAATAATCGGTAATCTAATCCTCGAGTATGTACTTATTATGAGCTTCAACAAGTATTGAATAGTATTACGACGTAAGGATTAAGGCTAAACGCACGTTAAGGATAAAATCGAGAGACCGGCCGACCGCGACGTCGCGCGGATCGACGAGGGGGGCTCACTCGGGAATTTCGCGCGCAGTCTCCGCGTTTTTAGCGGGAATGCTCCTCGTCGATCCGCTCGGTCCACTCGTACCTACAAATCATCCTCAAATTTCTCCAGCCATCAATCGACGTCCCGGATCGTACCGGATCACAGGCGCGCCTGGATATAGAGAAAAGAAGCGGTCGAAAGAGTGCTAGATACGTATGTGCGTGCGTGCGTATATGTATGCGTGTGTGATTGCGTGATGTGTCACGGATTGATACGTAAAGAATAGTAACTTACCTATCGTGTATCTAAAGAAAGTTATAAAAAAGAGTAAAAGCAAACTTAATATTACGATAGAATAGTAAAGTACACGAACTTTGGCTAAGAACGCCCTCGTGCAGTCCTTACTGGCCACGACGTCATGTCAACCGCGTGTTATGGTAACGCGAGGAGAGAAATCGTATCGATCCTGGAACGGGAATGGTCTCCTTTACGTCTTGCTAGGCGCGGGAGAGCCAAGTGTCCAAGGGCGAGTGCACGAGGGCGCACTTCGGGTTGGAGTAGGCGTGATCACGGAAAGCAATCTAAGTTGAATCTAAAGTTGTTAGATATATTATTTGTAAGATTACTGTATGTTGCGAGTGGATGCGATTGATGCGGCGGGATATCGCGAGCGGATTTTGGGGAGAAAAACCTGCCCGGCAGAGCAAATTTTGTCGCT